CTTCATTTTTTATTTTTTGATTATTTTCCCCCCTGCCCTCCTCTCACCATCAGGAACAGCCTCAAACTGGGTCAGCTCCTGGGGGAAGGTGGCCAGCTCGGGCTGCTGCGAGAGGATCTGCTCCGCCAGGGCGTGCAGGAGGGTGAAGGTCCTGTCCCTGCCCCTCAGCAGGGAGAGCTGCAACAGAGCCCAGCAACAGCACACCCTGAGCTGCCAGCCCTCAGAAATAAACAAAACACGGAAAAGGAGCAGCAGAGATGCTGATGGATCCCGGGTATACTTGGCAAGAATAGAAAACAATGAATGAAACCTCTCCTTTTCATGTGGCAGTTTCACACGCATGCACTCCTGGCTCATACCTGGTGTCTAACCAGGGCCTGCAGCTCACACAATTGTCACAGACATCTTTTAAGGAAAAACCCTTCCCTGGGAATTTTTCCTCCTGAGAAGCTGAGAGGCCTCAGGAACAAAATGTAAACAATGATTATCTGCTGCTGTGGAATGCAACAGGTGCATCTGGGATTGGTCTCATGTGGATGTTTATAATTAATGGCCAATCACAGCCCAGCTGTCTGGACTGTCTCGGTCACTCACAAACCTTTGTTATCATTCTTTTTTTATTTCTTGCTAGCCTTCTGATGAAATCCTTGCTTCTCTTCTTTTAGTATAGTTTTAATGTAATATACATCATAAAATAATAAATCAGCCTTCTGAAACATGGAGTCAGATCCTCATCTCTTCCCTCACCCTGGCACCCCTGTGAACACCATCACACACAATTCCTCATGCCAGGGGATTTTACTACCAGGGCAGGCAGCATTTTGATGCTCTGCCTCATCAGAGGCACAGTTTTTTATTTATTTATTCAGCAGCACAAAGGCAGAGCTGCTGCATGAAGGGGGGGACACAGCTTGTGATCACAGGCACCAGAGGATTCAGGGTTCAGCAGCAGCTTGGAACCAAACCAGGTGGCAAAATGCGAGCTCCTCATTAGGAATTATTACCTCTCTCCACACTGAAAATAATTACATTTATTATTTAGTAGCACTAATATGCTAACAAATATTAACATATTAATCCTAGCAACCCTAGGACAGGATGACTTCAGCAGCAGTTTGTAACCAAAGCCAGGTGGTAAAATGTGAGCTCCTCACTAGGAATTATTACCTCTCTCCACACTGAAAATAATTACATTTATTATTGAGTAGCATTAATATGCTAATATTTGTTAGCATATTAATGCTGGCAAACCTTAGGACAGGATGGCTTTAATGACAAGGAGATATTTACTCACCTTGGCCAGAGAGGACAGTCGGAACCCTCTGGCCACCTCCTTCCCAGCTTTTTCATTCAGGTGGTTCCCCATGGCTAAAATGTACTCCAGGACAGCCACAAACTTGGGGCTGGACTGCAGCTGCTTGCTGGCTTGGATGTTCTGGGTGATCAGCTGCAACACACAGAGCTCCCTCAGCCAGGCTGAAAACGGGGATGAACCCGTGGGTTCTGCCCTTCCCTCCCTGCCCCAATCCCCCAGGGATTTTCTGCAGGGCCAAACCCCCCAGGACAGAGCTGGGCTGGCACAGCCCCCCCAAAAGGATCCCCATCCTCCCTGGCTGCCAAAGCAGCCCTGCCACAACAGCCCTGCACAAAAAGGGCTCTGCCCAAATTTCAGGGGAAGCCGAGCCTGGAGCTCCATCCCTCACCTCCCTCCCTTCCATTTGCACCAGCTCCGTGCTCTGGAGCTCCATCCCTCACCTCCCTCCCTTCCATTTGCACCAGCTCCGTGCTCTTATCAGAATTCTCAGCACAGTTTCCCCACAAGGAAGAATAATAATAATTTCCTGTGCTCAAACTCAGTGTAATTCAGTTTTCCCAGGGAAAAGCCACCTCCCTTCTAGGGGTTAAAGCATAGAAGGGGATTTTGTTTTGAGTTTAAAAATCTGTATTTTTTAGCACCACACCTTTTTTCATCAGTCACCAACACAGAAATTTAAAAACAGGGAGAGGGTGAAGCACTTGGGTGCACTGAAAGCTGTTGCTAAAGCATTTAAAGCCCAGCTCAGGGCCAGAGGGTGCCGAAAGCCAAAATTCACATTGTCCCTTAGGATTTCAGGTGTATATTCTGGCTTTAAAAATACGTGCTAGCATGAATAAGAGCACACTTAGCCACTAATTAGCTCTTCAGTGAACATTAAATATCCATCAAAGCAAACAGTGCGTGGAATAACTTCAAAAATTCAATATTGGGCTTCAGTGGAGGACAGCAAAGGTGCAGGGTCAGGAATGTCTGCGCCTCCCCTGTGCCTTCCATCTGCCCCTCTCCTGAGCTCCCCTCACTGCTGCCGTGCTTTCAATCACAGACAGCCAAAGGACGACAACTTGGTCTCACAGAAATTCTACATTTTGTTTACATCCCCGTGCAGAACGAGGGCAAAACCTCTGAAACGTTTTGGTGGTGTGGAAATGCTTGTTGTGAATGAGAGCATGGACAGAACCCGGCAGGTAAGGCAGGGTTTGGAGCAGCAGGGTCCATCGTGAGACTGGCACTGGTTTGTCTGGGTCATACTGGGGAAAGGCAGAGAGGGACTCCCAAAAATCCCAGCCCAGAGCTGTGATCCTCAGGGGGAGCAGCTCCTCCAGTCTGCAGGAAATAATAAATCTCTGGGAGATTTGTCAAATTAAATTCCTCCTCGCCTTAGACTGGTTCTTTCAGCTCATGGGGCCAGAACCTCCCCATGAAGGGAATTGAATTTTAATGGTGAAATTCACTTCTGGCTTATCCAAAGAAGGAGGAAAGTTTAATAACTCCAGATAAAATGTTGAAAATCTTTTCCTGTTCTTTTCTCTCTCTCTTTGTGGAAGTCTATTTTCTACTGCCATGCCCATTATCCTGAACCTTGGTGAAATAAGGATGATATTAAACACATAAGTGGAAAAAAACCCCAAAAATAATCCTCCCAAACTAGAGAGCCTTGAAATCTGCACTGAGGTGATTTGGGCCTCCCTTATCAAGCTGCCAGGATCACAAACACCCAGGACAGGCCCTGTACTCACAGGCTCCAGGTCTCTGATGCTCTCGGGCAGCTCACGGACGCTGAGCAGCAGATCCAGCCTCTGGCCCAGCTGGGGGATTTTACACATCTGCACACAATTGAGCAGAACCAGCATAAAAACTCACATTCATACCAAAAACATGCAAATTCCTTTCATTATTTACTGAGCAATTCAGCTGTGCCAATGTTTGCCTAATTTCTGTGCTCATTTATTAATTTTATTCTGGGCCTTGACTCTGTGGATACACTCTGGCACAAACCTGCAAATTCATTGTATACTCCTGGGCAGACATGATTAAAATCCATTGCAATCCTTTCTTGTGAGCAAAAATCATTAAATACCTATAATTTTATAGATTATGGCTTCTAGATTTTTGGGAATCCAAATCTAGGTCAGGATAAATACTCTGTAGGAAGAGGAGGGAGTGTGACTTGGAGACACAAAGGGATCCATAGTTCTCTTTTTGTCATCCCAGGTCTTCATCAGAATAATCCTTTTATACTGATTCTGGGCGACATTGTAAATTTAAATGCTAAACAACAGCTTCTTGCAGTGGTTTCAGCTTGGAGAGTGCCCTAAAAATAGGATGTGGTGTCTTTTAATATAGAAACTCCTCACCTCCAACATGAACTGGTCAACCACGTGCAGCTCTGAGCACGGCCCCTTGAAGGACAGGTACCTCTCTGCATCTTTGGGTGTGGGCAAGTATCTGTAAGGAGAAAATTAAAATTAGGGATCCTCTTCTTTCTGTATTCTGATAAAATAATTCTGACATTCCTTGCCCTGGAATCACCTGCATTTTGTGTGGTTTGTGTGTTTCATATTTACTGCTTATCCTTTGGAGGCATTGGAACCACCTGGGAGATGGGAAGCAAAAGCAAAAGTGATCTGCAGATAGCTCTGGATATCTGGAAATTATTCCATGTAGATAAAGCTTGAAAACAGCCAGAATGCCCACCTGCAGATATTCAGAGGATTTAAAATGACAGAATAGTTTAGAAAAGGTGGAACCATGAGACAGAGGAGTTCAGGCCCTGATTTCCAAAGAGGTTGGACCCTTTCTTATCTCTGTTAATTCATAAATCACAGAATATCCTGGTCTGAAAGGACCCACAGGATCATCTCTGTTATCAAAGATATTATCACAGAATCACAGAATATCCAGGGCTGGAAGGCCCACAAGGATCAACTCTGCTAATTCATAATCACAGAATATTCTGGGCTGGAAGGACGTACAAGGATCATCTCTGTTATCTCATAATCTCAGAATATCCTGGGCTGGAAGGACCCACAAAGATCATCTTTGTTATCAAAGAATATCCTGGGCTGGAAAGACCCACAAGGATCAACTCTGTTATCGAAGAATAACTGAATTATTACTGGGCTGGAAGGGACCTACAAGGATCATCTCTGTTAATTCATAATCTCAAAATATTCTGGGCTGGAAAGACCCACAAAGATCATCTTTGTTATCAAAGAATAACTGAATTATTACTGGACTGGAAGGGACCTACAAGAATCATCTCTGTTATCACAGAATCATAGAATATTCTGGGCTAAAAGGGACCCACAAGGATCATCTCTGTTAATTCATAATCTCAAAATATTCTGGGCTGGAAGGACCCACAGGATCATCTTGGTTAATTCATAATCACAGAATATTCTGGGCTAAAAGAGACCCACAGGATCATTTCTGTTATCAAAGATGTTATCACAGAATCACAGAATATTCTGGGCTGGAAAGACCCACAAGGATCATCTCTGTTAATTTATAATCACAGAATATTCTGGGCTGGAAAGACCCACCAGGATCATTTCTGTTATCAAAGATGTTATCACAGAATCACAGAATATTCTGGGCTGGAAAGACCCACCAGGATCATCTCTGTTATCATCTCTGTTATCACAGAATCTCAGAATATTCTGGGCTAAAAGAGACCCACAAGGACCATCCTGTCCCTCCTGGCCCAGCACAGCCACCCCAACAACCCCAGCCTGGGGTTAGCAGAATTAAATCAAAAACCTTGATTTTTACAGGGTTTTTCATTGCTGAAGCAGTGACAGCACAAAGCACAGACCCACAGCTTCCCCACAAGGTCACAGAACATCCTCCAGGGCCACAGAATTTGAGAAGATTGATGCTTTCAGATATGCCTCCTCTTGGAAAAAACAAGCACAGCAGCACAGCTGCCTTCCTTCGGAGATGTGCCTGCCTGTGTGAGCCACCACAGGGGGAATTCAGAGCTTTTCTTCAGAAAAACCAAATCCATGGCACAGCTCGCATGTGAGCAGTGTAAAAATGCTGAAATAAGTATTCAGGTCTCCTCTCTCTTCTTTCTCTTAAAACAAACTTCTAAATTTGCATCAGGAGTGATTAAACATTCATGGGCAGAGCTACACATTTCCAGTAAAAATCAGGGAATTTTGTCAAAGATGGAGAAAAGCAAGTATTTTAGCATGTTAAGCACAGGACAAACACCAAGATTTATTTTACTGTTGTCAATAATTAATATGACATTTCAATTGTAAAATTGCTGGGGGTTTGAATGAACTCTAGTTTGTAGCAGACGAAAATGTAATCCTTTCAGCCCACTTTACCATCAAGGAAAAAAATGAATTTTCATTCAAAAACAAGTTAGCTGTTGGCAAATGAAAGGGTGTTTACTCATCATTAAAAATAGTTTGAGCTTTTAAGCAAATTCATAGAACGTATTTTAAAAGGTGACAGAAAACATCTTCATTTAATCACAAGTCTGATACCCCATAAAATTCTTTAGCTGCATTATGCATAGAAAATGGAAATAACAGATTATCTAGAAGGTTTAAAGCTTAAAGCATTAAACAATGGGAGCCATGAGAAAGGAGGCACAAAACCACGTGCATGCATTCCATAAATATCTTTGTACGTGAATGCAGCTCTAATGGAATTTGCACAATGAAAAGGATTCCCATTTCTCTGGAAAAAAAATTAAGTTTAGAGAGACATGGAGTGCTTTGCTGGTAAGACATGAGGATAAAGAATCATCCAGAGGTGGAGAGGTTTCTGTATCAAATTCATTCTTGAAATTCCCAGTGATATCCCACCACTTCCACTGGATGCACGAGCAGGACACTCCACCTTGAAAATGGAATTTTGGCTTTAAGTATTTTTCACTCTCCAACAGTAGGATTTTGACAACTTTAAGTATTTTTTTCCTCTGCCTCAGGTTTAACTTTTATATTTTCATATTCTGTGCTGCTTTAGTGTGTGGGTCTGGGCTCACATGAGGGGATGCTGAGCTCTGTGCACAGAGCAGGGAGACAAAACAATTCCTGCCCCAGCTGGGCACCAAGGACAAATGACCCAAATCTCAGCCCAGAGCACAAACCCCTGGAGAGAGAAAAACAAGGATGGGACTGGATGGGCTAAAGCTGGGATGGGACAATGAACTGCAAGGTGCAAATGGAGCAGAACTGATCCCAGGGACAGAGCCCGTGCCCCTCGTGCATTTTGGGGCTATTTTGGTTCATCTTGGGTGCAGCCCTGGCTGGGCTCTGGTGCTGCCCAAGGTGCATCCATGGAGGAGATGCTTTGGATAAATCCCTGCTTTATTCCTTATCTCCATCCAGTCCTGCTCTAGCTCAGCCTCTCAAGGCATCACTCCAATAAGAGGATTTTGATAAAGTATTTTTCACTCTCCAGTGGTAGGATTTCGACACTGTGCCCTGGCTCAGACCCCCTGACAGGTACAATTTGCACTGAGAGCAATTTTCCAGCCCTGTCCTGTCCTGTTTGGACTCTGTCCTGCCCACAGGTTCCCAATGAGCTGGAGGCCACAGTTCCCAGAGGTGGAATTTGCCCTGGGACACCAGAACTGAGTGGGAGCTCTCCACAAGTGCTGAGTGCCCTCCTTGTGCTGTGCCAGCCCAGCACAGAGCCTGGTGCCAGGGGGTGATGCTCCAGGAGCATTCCTGCTCCTGCCACTCCCCAGTGCCTTGGGAATAATCCAAGATCTCATTTTGAGACAAATCCCAACTTTACACTCAAAACTCTCGGGGTGGAAAAAAATTCAGTTTCCTTTCAATGCAAGATTCATCGATTTTGGCAGCAAACAACAATCCCAGGGACAGAACCCTTGAAGGCAGATAGCATGGTTTGAATCCTTGAAATTATACAGCACAGAGCAAGACAACAATCGATATCCCTTACACATTCCACTGCTGGGAATATTCCCTCAGCACTATTGCCATCAAAGAAAGACTTCAAGGAAAAAAAAAATATGATATTTCAAGCTTCATTGCCATCATTATTATTATTATTATTATTATTGTCTGATGGCAAAGAGCCCAGAGGCCATAAATCAGTGATGCCACAGCAGTTTCAGCAGCCTGGACATCCTGGACTGAGCCTGCAGTGCCAGGACTGAATCCTGAGTGTGATAATTCACTGTGGGGAGTTTTGGAAGGAATTTGAGATGGGACTTTGGAGTTGATTTTTGATGATGCTGTTTATTTTCTTATTTTCTACTCAGGTAAGAAGGGTGAGTTCAGCTCACATATTAAGGCACGGCTCAGAAGGTCACAATGCCCTTAGTTACAGGACCCTTAGTTACAAGGAGTTTCACACCAAACTTCTGCAGGTAAAAATGTTTATTAAAATGGCCCAAGTATCACGTGGGGACCGGGATGGAACAGATCCCACTCCAGGATCCCACTTCTTTCCTTTCTTTCTACATCTCAAACTATCCAAAAAGATAAATTCCAGTGAATTTCACACACCAATCGTTTGCTCGCACTGAAATCTGTCCAGCTACAGAAATCTCCACTCTGCTCCAAACCCCAAATCCCTGCCACACAAATATTCCCAATATCCCACAAACCTCCTTTCACTCTTGTCTGCCTTCTCCCTCTCCAACTTTCCAAACTTCCCTTCATTTGCAGAATATTCTGCCTTCTCCAAAAGGCTCCAAACCCAGACAATTTCCCCAAAATTACCTTCTCAGTGCTGTAATCTGCTCATCTGTGAGCCCCCCACTCTCCTCGTGGATGATGAAGAGTTTGTCCTTCAGCTCGCTTGGTTTTACACGGAAACTTTTAAGGAAAATGTCTGGAGAAAAAGGATTCTGGGGTTAATTGGAAAGAAATGCTGAAGGGAAGGGAAATCACTGAAGTATCTTACCTATACTTAGCAGAATTAAAAAAAAGAAAGAAAAAAAAAAACAAAAAACCAGAATATAAAATATTTAGCAGCTGCTATTATACGGCAAAATCTCAGTCTTCATATTTTCTTTAAATTTACAGAGCAGTCATCACGAAAAAACAAATCTCAGGATGATTTTCTTGTCTCTTACTGATACCTGCTCCTTGTGTGGCAGGAATTTCTTTTTTCAACAATAATCCACTAAAGAAGTTAATTTTAATTTATATTTTCTCCTGGCCTTGAATTTAGTATGGAAATGTCTCAGAATTCTCATTTTCCTCTGGTGTTCCCCTCAAAATCCCCAGAATTTTGAACGTACTGGCATTTTCAAGCTTCATGGTTTTATTCATTAATTTAAGGACTGTGGTTTGCAGCACTTGCAGGAAGATTAATCAGAATTCTCAGGATCAAATTAACTTTTGATCTGAGTACTGTCCATTATAATAAGGATATGCCAAAACTCTCACTGATGAGGATAAGATTAAGAAAGGGATGTAGAACATCTCTGTGAAAAACGCTGCGAGAGGAACAGGATCAAAAGGAGGAATTGTGCTATTTGCAAAGCAAAAGAAAGACATTTCCTCAAAGAAACTGCAATAATTTAGTAGATAAAAGTGCTATTACAAGATTCTTTTATCTGCAACAGCACTTTGCCATCACTCTTCCTTTTAACCCTTCAAATTGTTAGTCAAGGGATGCAACAATTCTGAGTTATCTCCATTTACATGTCCCAATTAAAACTTTACATGCTCTCCAAAATACATTTTTTTTCTTATTCATATTAATCAAGATGAAATCATTAAAACTTCAGAACTGACTGCCCCGAATTCTTTACACATGTAACCATCTTAAAGCATCTCCAGGTTATAGAAATTTTTAGGAGAGGCATCTTTGTAGCAGAAACCAGAGTGCTCTTTGAAGAACAATTACTGCTGCTCCTTTAACATCCACCACTTCTCATCAAGGGGTTGAAAGAGCTTTACAATATTCTGTTAGGGCTGGGCGTTGAGCTGCCCCATTAGCTCTGAAAGGCTGTTCCAGGTCAGGCTTTGGGTGGAATCTCACCTGAAGGAGGAGAGCAACGGGTTGTGCCCAGGAACAGGATGCTGAGCTCTCGGACTGGGAAAAGCCAAGAATTCCTGCCTGGAGCTGCCCCAAAGGCTCCTCACCCAAACCCAGCCCCTGCACGGGATCCTTGGCCCCAGTGCAGCTCAGCACTGCAGGTTCTGCCGCCCAGCCTGCTCCTGGGGGCTTTGCAGTGTTGAAGATGGAGGGAGAAGGCCTATCCTTGTTGATCAGCATCGACTCCGTTTATTCACTCCATCAATCACTTTTTATAACCGTGTTAATTAAGTTCATGCACATTGCAAACCCCAGCTCACAATAGGTCAGAGATAACAAACCAACTCCTCCTTATGTTTCCAATACCAAGATTTGGGTTCTCAAAATTATTTTTGCTTTCCCAAAACAGCCAAAGAT